GAAACCACAGCACTCCTCTTGAGGGATAAATTCGGCCTTGCATGAAAAAGCCATTAATCTGAACATGGACATGTGTTTGTATCTATGGAGGAAACGCGTTGATGACTCACTCTTTATTTTGGAATACTTTGTGAAAACTAATGGATCTCCATTAGTCCACAGAGGATCAGTGAGTTACTAAGTACAGGGTACTCTAGGTTTTCAAGCATGGACTCTTTTTTGAGAAAATTTCTGATCTAACACAAAGCCTGCTCTGAATGGACTGAGCTGGGGTATTTTTTTCATAAATATTATATTTTGTTCAGCCTGACAGAAATAGTTTAGTTTAGTTACATGGTTTAAACATTTAAAGTTAAAAACTCAGACAAACAACATGTCTTTATCTTTCTACTAAACATGTTCTCTTTTATACTACAAAGAGCCCTGAGAGTCACTATTGATTAATACATATGTGACCCTTTGGTGATTGGCTGAGAGAAGGTCCTCTTTTTTGCATGCATGTGAAAACTTGTGATCAGGAATTAGTTAGGATTTTATTATATGTTTGTGGTTGGAAAATAAGGTGCCTCAGCTCAGAAAATAAATGTGTTTATAAGTAAGTAGTAATCTTTATTTATATACCGCCTTTTCACTGCAAATCTGAGTCTCAAAGCGGTTTACAATTGTTAATTTTTTTTGGGCATTTGTCTCTCACTCCACACAGAGATGGGAGCGGGGTCGCCAGTACAGGAGGCGCATGCTAGAACTATTGGACATATTTTTAGTGGTAGGGGAAACCGGAGTACCCGGAGGAAACCTACGCAGACACGGGGAGAACATGCAAATTCCACTCAGAAAAGCCCTGGTCCGACCAGGATTCGAACCCAGGACCTTCTTGCTGAGAGGCGAGAGTGCTATCCACTCAGCCACCGTGCCGCCCAAGTACTGCCCAAACATGTTTACATATGTTAAATACAGATCTAAAAAGCTTCTAAAATCCCATTAAGAGTTAGTTTTGAGTATTACTTTTCCAAATAAGTCATCACTTGACTTGAGAAACCAAAACATCACAATAACAAAGTTTACGTGCTCGTCTGACTCTCCATTTCCATGCACAAAGTAACATTATACGCAACAATCTACATAGGCCCTGTTCATATTTTTCATAGTGGTCCTAAATATCTACTTTCAAAAACATTGCTTCAACAGTCAAACATTCGAGGCAAAGCATGATAACATCTCCATGGAAACCAGCAGTCAACAACCCCTCCCTCTCTGATAAAGTTACATAGTGCCCCTTTAAACATACTACAAAAATTACCAAAGTTGAGCGTACGCAGATCTGCAATGACTCACATGGCCTTTGAGTTCTTTGAGACATTTGACAGTTGCACAAAGACGTGACGAGAACGGCATTTCTCCTCTGTCACATCTTTTGTGTGGATTTATCTGAGCTCATCACTTTCAATGAGCCGTTTATGCTGCTTCAGATGACATCACCACAAAGAGAAGGCTGTAGGATTATTGTCAAAGGAGAAATATGCTTACTTCACTTTTGTAACACGTTTTCTCATCATTATTTAGTCAAAGTAACAATTATTTAAAAACATTGAGATTTATGGTCACATGGTTTCTGAATGGTCTAATTTTTTTGCAATAAACTTCTCAGCGGTTTATACAACATTCAATTGTTCATGGGTCTAAATGATTAGAAATTATTATTGTGGCATTCATTCCATTCCATCCACTTTGAAGACATATCACACAACAGTGAGTTACTGTAGACATTTTTAATTTGTACAGACACTCTGGAGGCATGAAGTTCCTTTTCCCAGAGCTATATTGAAGTTGTGTGACGGGAGGAACATTTTCAGAATTCTTAGCCATGTAAATATGTTTGAACGGAGAAGTTTTGGGATATGCCTTTAGCTGTGATTGTAAATACACAAGTGTAGAATTATTATGACTGAACTGCCGTATATTCAGACTATTATTAAACGTTGTATCACGCTGTATCATTTGGTGGGAAAATCAGAGAATTGCGTGTCGAATAAGATCAGGTTAATCCACAGCCTGTCAGAAGAGGGAGCTAACGTGCTGGAAATACGTGCAAGAGTGATGTCAGTTTACCATGTTTCAAAATGTGTTTTTGAAAGTGGAACCGAGTTCTCCCATAACATTTTTAATCATGTTCCTTCGCAAAGATAATATACAAATCCTTGTGTGCAATGTGCATTATTCATTCAGCCACACACAGTGGCCCTGGGGCAGACTAACAGAGGTGAGGCTGACAAATCTGGTCAATTATGCTTAAGTGTGTGAAGTCAACGGATGAAGAGGAAGAAAACGAAAAAGGGGAAAAAATGGAACGTGTCTTGCCTAAATTAGTTTACTCTAGAGGCCTGGTATTACAGTAAAGCAATCCTACTCACACTAATAATGCATCATTAACACCCGTAACAGTATCAGGGTTGCTCAATTCATTTCATTGCATTAGTATGACAGTCTGAAGAAAGTCCACCATGAAATCAAACAGGATCAGTGGTAAATCTCAGATTTTGAGTTAAAATCATTCATCTTTTTTTGGTAATTTTCCCAACAAAGTCATTTAATTGATATATTCATGTGTAGTTGTATAGTGTTTTACAACGTTTGAAAACGGGTTGGCAGAAGCATGTTATTGTCAGTCAGTCTACTTAGAAAGTCAATACTTTTGCCTGAAATAGAGTGGTGTTGCGTACATTTTCATTCATTTTCTTCCCGTTAATCCATTTCTGGGTCAGGGGAGTGGCAGGCAGAGCTTCACCCATTTCACATTGCCCTGGCCCCTCAATGATCATCTTGCAGGTGGTGAACCCAGAGGAGCCTTGATCTTTTGGTAGGGCTACAGGCAAAGTGTTTTGCCCAAGGACACAATGACATCGGTGGGAATCGTGAAGAAGGTCTCGTGGTGGACCTGAACCCACTATCTTTGGGCCCCAACACCAATGCTCTATCAACTGTGTCACTGTCTGCTACAAAAACACAGAACTAGTAAAAAAAATGCTTACCCGTTGGAAAATGCCTAAATTTTCCGTTGTAGATAATTATTGCTGAACAAAATATGGAAAATGTTCTGTCTCCACAAATCAGCCCTGTGGATCATTTGTGCAGTTTTTCTCAGTTGCTTTGGTGCATTTCTCACATTAGATTTCTCAGAACTATTAGTTCAACCTCCACAACATTGAGTCATGTGTGCACATCATCACAGCAGTTTTTCATTCCTATGAACAAATTTCATGCAATTCTCTGCTGTTTTACAGTTTTTCTCAGTCGCTGCATTTCTCACATCATTCTTCACATTTGCACAACAGTTCGTGCATTTCTCAGAAGAATTAGTGCAAACTGCCAAACCTTGTGGATAACCTGCAAAAGTGCTGCACCTTTTCAAAATGAAAAGTGAATTCCTCAAAAGCAAGTCTTTATATCAATGAAACTGTCTGTGTTTCTTAATGTCAATGTCCTAACTACATTGAGTATGAACAACACAGTCACATGACTTAGTCACGTTTTCATTTTGACAGTTTACTCTCTCTGTGTTTTCAATGTAAAAAAGTCAGATCTCGGTGACACTCGGTGAGCACTATACACTGTGCAGCCAAAAACTACAGTAAAGTTACACATGACTGTATTTAGAGAGGTAACTGAGCACAAGACATATGTATGTAATATGTATGTGTGTATGTACTGTATGTATGTAGGTATATGTATGTGTGTATCTACTGTATGTCTTTCACATATTTACTGCATATGCTCTTTGCAGCATTGTGCAACAAAAATACAGTCACTTACAGTATTTACGTGGAACAAACATACAGAATATCATTATGGTAGAACTGTGACAAATGTAAACAATAAAACACACACCTCGTCATGAGTGAAGCTGAAATTCACCTGAAAGAAATGTTTCAATTTAGGAAAGATATGCAGAAAAAATAAATAAAGGAATGTATGAAATTAGCTTGACAGATTTAGATTTTGAGAATTCTTACAATCTTGTACAGTATGTGATGACTCAAGCGATGAAACAAGGACTATTGGTTTTATAGAGAATGACTATTCAGAAGTCATAAGTATGTTTCATTTTGACTGACAGGACAGAAGCAAATGATAATGTTATAAAACAGCAGAGAACTGTATGAAAGCGACTGATGCATGTCCAAAAGCATTTGTAATCTGTTCATAGGAGAAACTGCTACGATGATGTACACCAACGACTCAATGTTGTGGAGGTTGAAGTCTGACGTAAGAAAAATAAAACAAAATTAAAACATGTCACATTCGCTCCGGAGCGTGTGTGGCTCTTCACTGCGTTGGAGCGTCTATCAAAACAAGCCGGTCTCATGACAAACGTGTCAGTGTCTCTCTGCAGCCACTGCTTCACTTTGTATCAACTGTGTCAGTGAGTAAAAGTTTCATTGGCTCAATGAGTTTCCCTGCTGCCTAAGCCTTTAACAACAGTTCAAATACATAATGGAGATAAATATTCTTAGAAAGGACACAGTTGGAGTAACTGTAAAAAAAAGTTTAAAGAGAGACTTTTAAAACCTTTTTAAAACAGTATTTTTATAAGTCTAATTTTAGCGAGTAATAAAAAATAAAAGACAAAGGAAGTCAGAAAAAAGTAATACATTTTTTTTATCATCGTTTCTTTTTGCTGTCCGATTCATGCTTCAAATACAATATCATCTACTAATAATAATCACTATTTAGAGGTCACTTAGAAGGTCTTATAGTCCACATATTTCGTAACAGTTCAGTCATTAGTGAAATTCATAATTTTCACCAGAATTAGGTAAATGTCCCAGATGGACACCTATGGAAAGAACAGGCTGCAGATGTTAAGTGTGTCACCATGGTAACTATGGAACTAGGCTAGTTCAGAGTCTAGACTGCCTGGTTACCAAGGAGATGACATCACTCCATGACATAATGTATCTCTGTGTAAGCATGAAGACGTGAGTTTATTTAATTTCTGACACATGAAGCCACAGACACACAGCATTATCTGCAGCTCCAGCCCGAAAACACTCACTATGAAGCCCTGGTATCTCTACACTTTAGAGGAGGACCAGCACCTCTACGACCAGGAGTTTGACCTGGAAGCTCTGCTCAACCCCACACCGTCAAGGCCTGGGGTCCAGACCCACTCCACCCCACCATCAGAGCCTGGAGTCCAGACCCACTCCACCCCAGACGAGGGCCCACTCGTCCTCACACCTCCAGAGGAAGCGGCTCCGGTCACGCAGCTCCGGCAGCAGCTGCAGCGAGCGAGAACCCAACTCAGAGATCAGAAGAGAGTGATCCGAGAAAAAGACTCTGTGTTAGAGAAAGTCAACGTTGCTCTTCTGAAAAAGGAGCAACAGGTCAAAGAGCAAAGCAGAGCTCACACAGAGATGAGAGTTCTGTATAATACAGCTGTGAGTGACAAGGCTCAGCTCAAACAGGAACTCACAAACACAAAGAGAGTCCTGAGAGAGACGCCACAGAAAGAGCAGGACACTGCAGACACACGAGTTACTCTGCAGAAGAAGGACAAACAACTAGAGGAGCACTTAAGGCTCTGAAGGAGACACGGCTCCTGTACAACACTGCTGTGACGGACAAAGTCACGCTCAAGCAGGAACTCATAAACACAAAAAGAGTTCTGAGAGAGACTCAAGAGAAAGTCAGAGAGCAGGACATTATGATCGCTGAGATGAGAGAGGTCTCTGTGCCAGTGTCCTACAGCAAGAGCAGAGGGTCTACACTGGACAAAGAAACTTCTTGGTAAGATTTATTTACCCAAAATAACATAAATTATGCTTTTTTGTTTTGCTTGAATTTGGTTTTTCATGTAAGATTATTTTACTAGATTTAAGATAATAATAATTCATAATCTTATTAGAGAAAATAATCTGAGCAGTGAGTTTTAAAGCTTGTTTTAATTTGGGGCTAGTATTATTTTCTTATTTTCAGAAATCTTGTCAACTCATATTTTCTTGTTCTAATGGCAGATATCTTTTCATATTGTACTTATTTTATCTTTTAATTTTTTTCTGATTATTTTCACCAGGACCAGCGCACAGAAGAGAACGACAGAAAGACCATGTGCTGAAACTGCTCCAGGTGAGACCATGAAGCTGAACCAGGGACTGTCCAGGAAAGACCAGGAGCTGGAATATCAAGCCCAAGTCACACAGTCTTTGGAATCAAAGCTGAAGATACAAGAAGGACTGATCGGCGAGAAGGACAGTGAGCTGAAAACAGTCAAAGTGACTCTGCAGAAGAAGGAGAAAGAACTAGAGGAGCACATTAAGGCTCTGAAGGAGATACGGCTCCTGTACAACACTGCTGTGATGGACAAAGTCACGCTCAAGCAGGAACTCTCCAACTCCAAAAGACTCTCCAGAACAACTGCTCTGGATGTCCCCAAACAAAACCAGCTGTCCCAGACTGAGAAGCAGCTCTACTCTGAGCTCCAGTCCACCCAGAGGGAGGTGAACTGTATCAACTCCAAGAATAAGGATTTGGAGTTTTCAGTCAAACAACATGAGGACCAACGGTCACAGCAGAAAAGACTCTCCATCACAGACAAGAACAAGTGGGCGTCCAGGCGTCACTACTAAACTCCTCCCACTGTCACCTCCTAACCCTGCATTCAAAAATAAACAAAACAAACAATAATATGTAAAGTTATCATTTTATTTACTATGTCGTGTATAACACTATGAATGAGAGCAACAATAACGTAATTGAAGGAGAAGTTTAAGAACAAATGAGTGCGTTTTCATTCCTACGTGGTCAAATATAAGGAATTTAAATTTGCTTCCTAAAGCTTCAGGCCACAATGCAAAATAATAAGTAAGTATTACATTCGTACTGATCTTCTGACTGACAATAATACATAATACTATGTAATTCAAAATATCTATATATTTTTTTTTCTTATTCAATATTAATTGTAGGAAATTTCAGACCCTCCAACATTGTTTTTTGAGGCCTTCAGGAGGACTGATGGTGTAATCGGGGCGGTCGGACCCCCCCTGTTTTTTGCAGTATGCTCTTAAGTAAATATATACGTGACTAAAATAACACACATAGGATGTCTCCTTTAATATCTTATTTCATGTTTTCCTGTATTTTGCAACTCAAAAATCACCGGTCTATTGTTGTTGGGCCATATTGAAGAACAGGACCAACAGACTCTGCTCTTTAGAGACGTTTATCTCCAACAGAGACAAAATCTGTGACTCAAGCGGCGTAAAAATATACAGGGCCTCAGTTACGACACATGAAGCTATTGAACAGAAGGATAACACGGTTCAAAATGAACCTCAACATGGCCAACAGCAGTAGATTTATAGTACAATTCATTGTTTTCCCATTGACTTAATGTATAAAAAAGGTTTCATGGTCCTATTTTAAGGTCGTATTATAATGAACATAAAAAGTGTTGAGTGTTCAGCGTTTAGTCAACAACAGCGAGCAAGAATGATACATTTTCAAAACTCTGTTCATCTACTGTATGGTTTTTTTGTGAAAGTGCAAATGTTAGCTTCAGACCAACACATTTTAAAATCATTGTGAGATGCTGCAATAATCTAAATCAGGGGTCACCAAACCAGTCCAGAAAGAGCCGATGTGGCTGCAGGTTTCTATCAGACTAAGAAGGAACAGAGTCTGCTCTTCATGTGTCGTAACTGAGGCCCTGTAGGTTATTCTGTATATTCTCCTCAAGTGAGTTAAGTTGTCTCAACTGGAGGATTTGAGGAAATGAGTGGGATTTGTTCTGCTCCTGCTTGGTCTGATAGAAAATTTGCAGCTACACCGGCCCTTTCTGCACCAGTTTGGGGAACCCTGATCTAAACCGACATAATTATTAGTATTTCTTATCTTTGAAACCACATACCAATACTATAATACTGGCTATCAGAACTTAAACTCTGGGCTTTTCTCCATTTATTTTATAAAAAGATTGCCTTGTGGATACCTTTTCCCTTCCTTACTCACTCCTTTCTTTCCCTTACTTCCCTGTGTATGTTAGTGTTTGAATCTGGGGTGTCCAAACTCCTGCACTGGCTGTATAGGATCTGTAGATGATCGGTTTGACACACGTTCCCTTCATCATATCACCATGGAAGCAACACTCCTGTCTCCATGGAAACTGAAATCAACTTATGCTTGACCGTATTTATATCTCTTCCGAAAACTTTAAATAGACAAGTGCTTATTTTTGAATGTCTCATCTTTGAAAATTATCAATCACTATAGGGTTGGAAAAAAATCACAAAATAAACACTGTGTGAACATTGATGGGAAAATAAATCTTGAGCTCTTTTATATCCCTTCAAGTTGATAGAAAATGTTCAGAAGTAATATTTTATATGTTCAGAAGTAATAATTAAATTCAGTTTATCCCCTAAATTATAATTTACATTTCCGAAAATGGAAATATACTGGACATCTAAGGGGTACCACACCACAATACAATACAATTTATTCTTGTTTAGCCCTAAATCACAACAGTAGTCATGACAGAGGACTTAACAAAACCATTGAAATCACCAACACAGATCAGAGAATCAACAGTTAAGACACAAAAAGAATATAGAACACATGTTGATTATTGTCCATACATGTTGTAGAATGTTAAAGTGTCCTGGATCATCACCACAGTCCTTCTTTTTAGACACTACTGTCCAACTGACCCTCCTGCATCGGCAAGGAAAAACTAAAAAAACCTATTGATCCAGGACCAAACCACTTTATCAGATATAATGCATAAAGCATTATAAAAGCTGGGTCATACACATTACCTGTTGTTTGCCCCAACAAAAAGAGACCACAACAGACTGTCTTCATCACGTAATCTTTTGCATACTTTTAAGAAAGAATCCTGTGAGTCACTATTTGACACTTTGGCTGAGCCAGGATGGTCTTTTCTTTTTCACTGAAGATGTGAAATGCATATGAAAACTAGTAGAGCAGGGCCAGAGGGATTTTAATTTTTTATTTTTAAGTTTTTGATGGTTTGAAAATGAGGTAACCCAACTTTTACAGTAATGATGAGGTCTTGTATGAGTGAGCCATTCAAAAGGTCTAGGTTTAATACCACATCTGCTATTCCATATGAATAATTATGCGATCTTTACACCATGTCATTAGCTGAGAAAAGGTCAACGTGATCTGATATTGTGACAAATCATATGGAAAAAATGCATTAGCATGGGAAATCAGGATTAAAGAATCATCAGTGACATTTTAAACAGCCTGCACACATTTAATTCATGCAGTTGAGTCAATTTGCATGAATTAAATGTGTGCATACTGTAAATATATAGCTTATTCCCCACAAGGGGAAATTGGGGGGAAAAGCAGAAGCAAAAACAGGCAGGAGACATTTGCATAAAATCCTAAATAGAAAAATCAAATCCAAACATACATAACCCAGGATTAAATCCCCCTTAAACCGTGTCCATCAGATGACGGGCATCTTGCATTCAGCTTGTAATGAGGTCTTCTGTCAGGGGATATGCTGGGCCAGCTGGATGGTCGCTCTCTTGGAATCATGGAGCATAGGTGTCCTCAAACAGACCCACAAGTACAATACAATACAATAAAATACAACATATTCTTGTATAGCCCTAAATCTCAACAGTAGTCATGTCAGAGGACTTAACAAAACCATTGAAATCACCAACACAGATCAGAGAATCAACAGTTAAAACACATATAATATAGGACACATGTTGAAAAATGTCCATACATGTTTTAGAATGTTAAAGTGTCCTGGATCATCCCCACAGTCCTTCTAGTTGGACACTAACTGTCCAACAGACCCTTCTGCATCGGCAAGGAAAAACTCATTAAAAAACTCAGTGGGATAAAGTGAGAAACCTCGCTTTTTCCAGGACCTAAGCTACAGAACGTGGACCAGCGGCCGCTGAACGTGGACAGGTCCGGTACAGGACTGAAGAACTCCCAGGTGGGTCAGGCGGGGCGGTCCGCAGGTGTAGATGGAGGAGGCCAGGTCTAGAGGTCCCGTCGTCGTACCATGGAACGGACAATGGGACAACGGGTGAATAGCAATGAACAAACTACAGTCAAAATCCTAATAATGCCAAACAGATAAAGTAGGAAGGAGGAGAGAGATAGTGCTCAAGTTACCATACTTCTCCCAGCAAACTGACTCCCTATGCAGCTTGACTGACAGTCTAAGGAGTTTAGCCTTCCGAGCCTTAGTATTATTTGTAAAAAGTTCATTTTGTCTTCCTATTTTTGAGGCTTAGAAGGTCTTAAACATAGGAACAGAAGACAATAAATACAAAGTTTGATACGAGAGGCGATTGAAATCCGAAAGCGGGCCGCACAGACCATCAACAAAGATGAGGGGGCTTTCACCTTGCCTCACACTTGAGATTCACTTCTCCAGAGACCACAACCCGGCAGCAACAACAGCTGATCAGAGATGCGCCACACCATCACGTGTCACCTCGTCGGAAGTCTACCGGCGAAAAAAATCAGCTAATTAAGCAGAACTATCTTTCTTTATTTTATTGTCTCATTAAAAGAACCTTCTAGGCCGTGGAAGTAGCTCTGGAAGAATCTGTTCCAAGTCTAGTTCTCCCGCAGGGGCTGAAAGAGCAGTGGTGATCTCCCTCTGAGCTTCAGTGCCTGTAGATCTGTTGGTGACGAGCTGCTTCCTCAAAGCAGTGTCCCCGGTGGATTTACACGGGATCTGCTTGTGTAAATCCACAAAACAACAACAGTTTCAGAGCTGCTTAGGACATGCTGCTTATTTCCAGCACATTCCAATAAAAACGTTCATGTTATGAAAAAGATTGCCTACTGCTTTATGTCTATTACCAGCATTCTATTTTTATTTTTTGTTCAAAGAACCTGTTGAACTGGAAACAATACATATGTATTAAAAGATTGAAAAGATCTCATAACACAGTGTTTGAAATAACAGATTGACAGATTCATAGCGTGTTTTGTGCCCATAAAGTTAAAAACAACTCTGAGAGACTTTTAAAACCTTTTTAAAACAGTATTTTTATAAGTCTAATTTTAGCGAGTAATAAAAAATAAAACACAAAGGGAGTCAGAAAAAAGTAATACATTTTTTTTATCATCGTTTCTTTTTGCTGTCCGATTCATGCTTCAAATACAATATCATCTACTAATAATAATCACTATTTAGAGGTCACTTAGAAGGTCTTATAGTCCACATACTGTATTTCGTAACAGTTCAGTCATTAGTGAAATTCATAATTTTCACCAGAATTAGGTAAATGTCCCAGATGGACACCCATGGAAAGAACAGGCTGCAGATGTTAAGTGTGTCACCATGGTAACTATGGAACTAGGCTAGTTCAGAGTCTAGACTGCCTGGTTACCAAGGAGATGACATCACTCCATGACATAATGAATCTCTGTGTAAGCATGAAGACGTGAGTTTATTTAATTTCTGACACATGAAGCCACAGACACACAGCATTATCTGCAGCTCCAGCCCGAAAACACTCACTATGAAGCCCTGGTATCTCTACACTTTAGAGGAGGACCAGCACCTCTACGACCAGGAGTTTGACCTGGAAGCTCTGCTCAACCCCACACCGTCAAGGCCTGGGGTCCAGACCCACTCCACCCCACCATCAGAGCCTGGAGTCCAGACCCACTCCACCCCAGACGAGGGCCCACTCGTCCTCACACCTCCAGAGGAAGCGGCTCCGGTCACGCAGCTCCGGCAGCAGCTGCAGCGAGCGAGAACCCAACTCAGAGATCAGAAGAGAGTGATCCGAGAAAAAGACTCTGTTAGAGAAAGTCAACGTTGCTCTTCTGAAAAAGGAGCAACAGGTCAAAGAGCAAAGCAGAGCTCACACAGAGATGAGAGTTCTGTATAATACAGCTGTGAGTGACAAGGCTCAGCTCAAACAGGAACTCACAAACACAAAGAGAGTCCTGAGAGAGACGCCACAGAAAGAGCAGGACACTGCAGACACACGAGTTACTCTGCAGAAGAAGGACAAACAACTAGAGGAGCACATTAAGGCTCTGAAGGAGACACGGCTCCTGTACAACACTGCTGTGACGGACAAAGTCACGCTCAAGCAGGAACTCATAAACACAAAAAGAGTTCTGAGAGAGACTCAAGAGAAAGTCAGAGAGCAGGACATTATGATCGCTGAGATGAGAGAGGTCTCTGTGCCAGTGTCCTACAGCAAGAGCAGAGGGTCTACACTGGACAAAGAAACTTCTTGGTAAGATTTATTTACCCAAAATAACATAAATTATGCTTTTTTGTTTTGCTTGAATTTGGTTTTTCATGTAAGATTATTTTACTAGATTTAAGATAATAATAATTCATAATCTTATTAGAGAAAATAATCTGAGCAGTGAGTTTTAAAGCTTGTTTTAATTTGGGGCTAGTATTATTTTCTTATTTTCAGAAATCTTGTCAACTCATATTTTCTTGTTCTAATGGCAGATATCTTTTCATATTGTACTTATTTTATCTTTTAATTTTTTTCTGATTATTTTCACCAGGACCAGCGCACAGAAGAGAACGACAGAAAGACCATGTGCTGAAACTGCTCCAGGTGAGACCATGAAGCTGAACCAGGGACTGTCCAGGAAAGACCAGGAGCTGGAATATCAAGCCCAAGTCACACAGTCTTTGGAATCAAAGCTGAAGATACAAGAAGGACTGATCGACGAGAAGGACAGTGAGCTGAAAACAGTCAAAGTGACTCTGCAGAAGAAGGAGAAAGAACTAGAGGAGCACATTAAGGCTCTGAAGGAGATACGGCTCCTGTACAACACTGCTGTGATGGACAAAGTCACGCTCAAGCAGGAACTCTCCAACTCCAAAAGACTCTCCAGAACAACTGCTCTGGATGTCCCCAAACAAAACCAGCTGTCCCAGACTGAGAAGCAGCTCTACTCTGAGCTCCAGTCCATCCAGAGGGAGGTGAACTGTCTCAACTCCAAGAATAAGGATTTGGAGTTTTCAGTCAAACAACATGAGGACCAACGGTCACAGCAGAAAAGACTCTCCATCACAGACAAGAACAAGTGGGCGTCCAGGCGTCACTACTAAACTCCTCCCACTGTCACCTCCTAACCCTGCATTCAAAAATAAACAAAACAAACAATAATATGTAAAGTTATCATTTTATTTACTATGTCGTGTATAACACTATGAATGAGAGCAACAATAACGTAATTGAAGGAGAAGTTTAAGAACAAATGAGTGCGTTTTCATTCCTACGTGGTCAAATATAAGGAATTTAAATTTGCTTCCTAAAGCTTCAGGCCACAATGCAAAATAATAAGTAAGTATTACATTCGTACTGATCTTCTGACTGACAATAATACATAATACTATGTAATTCAAAATATCTATATATTTTTTTTTCTTATTCAATATTAATTGTAGGAAATTTCAGACCCTCCAACATTGTTTTTTGAGGCCTTCAGGAGGACTGATGGTGTAATCGGGGCGGTCGGACCCCCCCTGTTTTTTGCAGTATGCTCTTAGGTAAATATATACGTGACTAAAATAACACACATAGGATGTCTCCTTTAATATCTTATTTCATGTTTTCCTGTATTTTGCAACTCAAAAATCACCGGTCTATTGTTGTTGGGCCATATTGAAGAACAGGACCAACAGACTCTGCTCTTTAGAGACGTTTATCTCCAACAGAGACAAAATCTGTGACTCAAGCGGCGTAAAATATACAGGGCCTCAGTTACGACACATGAAGCTATTGAACAGAAGGATAACACGGTTCAAAATGAACCTCAACATGGCCAACAGCAGTAGATTTATAGTACAATTCATTGTTTTCCCATTGACTTAATGTATAAAAAAGGTTTCATGGTCCTATTTTAAGGTCGTATTATAATGAACATAAAAAGTGTTGAGTGTTCAGCGTTTAGTCAACAACAGCGAGCAAGAATGATACATTTTCAAAACTCTGTTCATCTACTGTATGGTTTGTTTTGTGAAAGTGCAAATGTTAGCTTCAGACCAACACATTTTAAAATCATTGTGAGATGCTGCAATAATCTAAATCAGGGGTCACCAAACCAGTCCAGAAAGAGCCGATGTGGCTGCAGGTTTCTATCAGACTAAGAAGGAACAGAGTCTGCTCTTCATGTGTCGTAACTGAGGCCCTGTAGGTTATTCTGTATATTCTCCTCAAGTGAGTTAAGTTGTCTCAACTGGAGGATTTGAGGAAATGAGTGGGATTTGTTCTGCTCCTGCTTGGTCTGATAGAAAATTTGCAGCTACACCGGCCCTTTCTGCACCAGTTTGGGGAACCCTGATCTAAACCGACATAATTATTAGTATTTCTTATCTTTGAAACCACATACCAATACTATAATACTGGCTATCAGAACTTAAACTCTGGGCTTTTCTCCATTTATTTTATAAAAAGATTGCCTTGTGGATACCTTTTCCCTTCCTTACTCACTCCTTTCTTTCCCTTACTTCCCTGTGTATGTTAGTGTAGTCTGGGGTGTCCAAACTCCTGCACTGGCTGTATAGGATCTGTAGATGATCGGTTTGACACACGTTCCCTTCATCATATCACCATGGAAGCAACACTCCTGTCTCCATGGAAACTGAAATCAACTTATGCCTGACCGTATTTATATCTCTTCCGAAAACTTTAAATAGACAAGTGCTTATTTTTGAATGTCTCATCTTTGAAAATTATCAATCACTATAGGGTTGGAAAAAAATCACAAAATAAACACTGTGTGTTTATTTAAAAACAACTCTGAATCTGTTTCTGTAAAAGGGGATAATGTAATATTACTTTGAAAAGGCAGAAATAATATGTGTCGTTTCCCAGTGCGTAGTGATACTTCCTGTTTGTCTGAGCTCCTTCTGCTCCGGCGTTCACAGGTCCACGGTGTGACGAGGTTTCACTAGGATGAGGAAAGGTCATCAGCTGCTGCTCTACACGTACACACACTTAATACACACAACACACAACTTCACCTAACACAATAAATGTGCGGCATATGTCTTATCCATGCTTATATTACGTTATTTGTTTAAGCCTCTGCTGCAGTGGTCGTTTATCAGAAGCAGTAAAATTAGTTTAGCCCTTCCAAAAAGAAATAACTTTTTTTTACAAGAGACCACTGAGGTAAATGATTTTCATTTGTAGGTAAAATGCATTTGTTCACAATAACATTTACAATTACCCGTTCCTGTATTTTTCCCATTTTACAGTGAAAATAATGCTTTGACAAGCAAATAAAAAACAGGAAAGAAAACAAAAGGTAAATTAAACAGAAACTAAATTCATGAATAGATTAAGTCCATAAGCCTAAATGTTGGCTCTCCAGTACGCACACAAGACAAACATATTACATATAAACATGTTATTTTACTTACATGAATAACAAACACTCAAGGGGAGCTGTTTTCCTTTTCATTTAAATTCACAAGAATAAAATTCCATCGTTGCGATAAAAGAGTAAGAAGTCCACAGTAATTAGTCATTATTGCAAAGTGTAGTTTATTCTACTGCCCCACTCTGTGCAAGACAAGATCCAGATAGGGCTAGAGGCCATTTTATACCTTCATTTTAGTCCACAGATCCAAAGGACTTGGAATGGGGGAAAGAGACACAGCTGCACGTTATTGTTTTACTTCAGTTTAGCATTTCCCCCTTTGGTGTTAATTTGGGGTACTCCACTTGTATTTAAGCCCCTCAATAGTTCTTGGTAGGTGGGTTTTATTTATTTTTTCCTTGGTTTAGTTAGGTTGTTTGCTTTAGTTGGCCCCAAACATGTGTTATGTTTTGGGGGATTCTTGGCAAATTGCATTATTCTGAATTCAATTAGAGATGATTTTACAATTGCTGTCCTTGCCTTTTGTTTAGTTTGGTTGATTACACAGAGCAAACACAAAATACATACAAACAAATATATATTAATGAACATGACCTCAAATTCTGTTTATTTTACCATTTTGTGCAGCTATTTACTCAATAATCAAATTGGTTCAAACAAGCTATTCTGCAATATCCTTCCGTACAAAATATTATGTGGTATAGATATTGATTTCCCATATTTCTTTGAAGCTAAAAGGTTACAAGTATGGTGGACGCCTCTTGAAAGTGTCAAAGCGATCGCAAGTGTGGAGAATGCACTACGACCCACTGTGTCCAAAGGATGTGACACAAAGACAAAACATCAGGAGGACAGGGGCTATTTTTATAACCTCAAGTGAAACGGCACTTTAGTCTTGGTGATTTGTTTCCAAGCGTCCTCTTTGACACAATCACTATGTCTATTTTACATGCATAACTTAAGGACTCAAAGTGTTTAACTCTTGATTATGCCGGTACAGCATTGTTCTCTCATCAAAACAGATCTAGAGTTATTTTATTATCATCTTAATTATAATCTTACACTGGGGTATGTTCCAGTGTATATTCGAATGAGTTGTACAATACAACTTGTGTTACCTGTGTTTCCCAATGCCACTAGCGTTTTCATGGACGTCCTGAACCGGTGCGAGTAGAGATCGGTGGGCAATGGCCGTGCATCCAGTGGTGTGAGGACTGAGCCAAGGTGATGGCGCTGTGGCCCTTCTTCCTCTCAGAAACCTCAGAAGGGCCACAGCGACCCGAGACAGACAATGGAATGGAATGGGAATGGAACAGAACGAAAATGGAACAAAGACTAAAAAGACAAGAAGTGCTGAGAAGGGTACAGGAGACAGACTACCATGTGCCTTTTTATTTCAATAATTTGACATAATGCATTAGAGAGACTTTTATTCAAACATATTTATACTTTTATTCATGTCCGTTCATTGGTCACACCCACCCCAATAGACGTTTTAAACCTGTGACAAAGGCTCAGTGGAGTTCACCAGCTGCACAAGCGCTGATCATCATCATTAAGTCTTCTGTCTCAAACGTGTAATTTCAGACACGCGTTTCCTCGCGACTCAAAGTGACAGAGCAAAACATCACACGCTGCAAAAATACAATAACAGTGATTTTAACAGGAACAAAAGAGAAACAGCTGAGAAGTCAAAGCTGTGACTAAAGTTGAAATTATAATGTCAACTAGAGCAGTAGTTTTGAGCCATAGACATACTAAAGGTTTGCAGACTTTAAAGCAGCTCTGCGTGTGTACAGGTCTCTCCATGACCTTGCACCAAAGTACATCCATGACATGTTGGTGCCACATGAACTGGCCCGGACTCTGAGAAGCACAGGGACTGGCCTCTTTCTGGTGTCCAGAGTCAGAACTAGACATGGGGAGGCAGCGTTTCAGATTTATGCAGCTAAGGTCTGGAACAGTCTTCCTGAGGATGTGAGACTGGCTTCCTCTCTGGCGAGGTTCAAATCCAGGTTAAAGACGGTTCTTTTTGCCTGTGCACACAACTGAAGGACTTTATTTCTACTCATTTAACGCACCTTTGTTATTTTCTTTTATTATTGTAATCCCTTGTGTGGTTTTAATGTTTTAATGGTTTTAATTATGTGTGTGATTTTATTTGTGTTTTTAATGGTGATTTTGGTGTTTGTTTTATGTGATTATTGTTCATTTGTGTGATGTGGACTGTGAAGCACTTTGTGGGAAAAGCAGTCTATAAAAAAAAAAGATTGATTGATTGGTTATACCTACACAATTTTTTTAGCATATGAACCTGGGTAAGTAAGTAAGTAATCTTTATTTATATACCGCCTTTCACAGACCAGAGTCACAAAGCGGTTTACAATTGTTATTTTTGGGCACTTGTCCTCTCACTCCACACAGAGATGGGAGCAGGGTCGCCGAACAGGAGGCACATGCCAGACCTATTGTACATATTTTTAGTGGTAGGGGAAACCGGAGTACCCGGAGGAAACCTACGCAGATACATGCAAACTCCACTCAGAAAGGCCCTGGTCCGACCGGGATTTGAACCCAGGACCTTCTTGCTGAGTGCTATCCACTCAGCCACCGTGCCGCCCACCGTGCTGCCGTGGGTGGGTGTAGACTGGGGTTAGGGTTAGGAATTAGGGGACAGGAGCAGAGCAGACTCCACCCATTTCCTCAAATCTTCAGGTCAAG